TCCCAGGCCTGACCTGCAGGGTGGTGGACCATCTGGAGGAGGCCTGCCAGAGAAGGTAGAAACAGACGTCCCAATTCAGCCCTTTCTGTGTGCTTGCTTTTTGAGGGTTCCCAAGTGCCATATATCAAAGGGGGGAGGCGGGGTCAGGCTGGGCTTGGGGGGTGGAGTGGGGGTGGGGGATGACAGGGTGATCAGAAGCTGCTACACTGGGGACAGCCTGCCTGAATCCGGGCTTGCTGCCTGCCTGGGAAGTAAAAGGAGCTCAGCCCCGCTTCCCCTGCTGCTCTACACACACTGAAGAGACACCAGGAGGGCTGGCCACCCTCTGGGACCCTAAGGGGCTGAGGTGAGGTGAGCACAGCTGGATTAATACTCAGTAGAGAGAGAAGTCAGTCACTCTCATTGTCAGGATTCTTCTGTCAGTGGAGTGAACCTTAAAATCTTTGAATGTTAGGGCCTGCAGCCCCTGGGAAAGTGCTTCTTTTAGGAACCTCCTCCCCACTTTATGCATAAGGAACCAAGCTGGAGAGCAGGGAGCCTTTTGAGTTCTCCTAGCAATTAGGCCTTATTCAATCTTCAGGAACTTTGTTTTCCCAGGCTTGTAACCCCTTCCTTGCTCCTCTGTCAAGTTTCTTAACTTCACTCAGAGTTTCTCTCCAGTGGCCTTAGTAGCCAAAGGCTTGAAAAACTCAGGTCTGTGCAAAAAGGCAACCACCCAGGGTCTGCATCCTGGGTCTTTGTCTGGAACTCCTTGGCTTGCTGGTGATGACAGCTGCCAGTTCCACCTGGCAACACTGCCACCTCCTCACAAAGATCTTTGACCTTTCTGGAACTCCTTATGATTTTAAAAACACTCTTATATCTTTAGCATTTTCATAACTCTGTCAATAAAAACAACTTTTATTTGCGTAGTGTAGATAGGACAGGCCTCATCAGTGTCATTTTACAGGTAAGAAAACAGGTTTGGATAGATGCAGGGACTTGCCTAAGGTCACATAGCCAGTCGGCAGGCTGGAGCCATGACTCTAGATCTGGGCTCATTTCCTTGATTCCAAGTCCCTGACACTGCAAAGGAGACTGTATCACTGGGAAAGGGGGCAGTACACGTTGGGGACACATGGTGTAGAACAGGTGGGGTGAACACCTGGAGTCGACATGGTGTTGTTGACAAAAAACTTTCTCTGCTGGTTTGGCTCTTATTTTATCTGATGAGGCTCTTCCTCCCCCTGCAGAATTCAGCAGGGCCCAGCAGTGCTGACTCAACGGCAAAACACAGTGTCGCCCAAGGGATCACCTTCAGCTAAACAACCTCAAGCCCAGAAGTGACAGTGATTCTGTCACGTTCCCCCATCCCGGCATCCTCCCTGAGAGCGCTGGTCTCCTCTAGGAAGGCCCATCTGGGAAGTGGTGCACCAAGAGGGGTCTCTCCCTGCCCCATCTGTTCCTCTTGTAACCCACAAAGGACAGACTTTGACAGAGGAAGCCAGAAGCCATGGCTCAGTCTTTTTGTACTTAAAAATCAAAGGCAGAGAAACACACACACACAAACTAGACCTCTAGATTCTGCTCTGGAAGAGGTGAACATACGAGCTGAATTGACTTCTCTAGAGCTGAACTGACCTCCCTGCTGTGATTCGTCTGCAGTGGGGGGCTAGCGGGATGGGGGAAGGGAAGACCCTTCCTCCCTCTCCTTTCCCCTCCCACCGCCTATCCTCGACTGAGGTGCGCCCTCAGGGGAGCCTGGCAGTGGAGGTGACAGATGCTGAGCAGCTGACTGGCGAGGGGGTGTCGATCTCCACGGACCCCCTGGTGTGTGCTGGGGGGAACGGGGACGTGACTTGGAGAACGTGCTGGGGGAGGGGGAACGAGGGGAGGAGAGGGCGGGGCCAGTGCTAGCCCCGCCCACTTGGGGGATAGGAAGGGGACTCCTCCTACCGTCTAACCGGAAGGCGGCCGGGCTGCGGAGATGCTGAGCTCCGCGCGACGGCCCTAGGGCTGCTGGGTGGGGGCAGGGCGAGGGCCCGGCGTCTCTCTGGTGAGGGCAGAAGACTGGGGAGAGTGGGAGGGAGGAGAGGCTGAGGAAGCTCTCACAGCCCTGAGGCTGTAACTTTCCCCCGACTGGGTCTGCTAACAAAGCGGTCTCTGTTGGGGTAGGCGAGGCCTCCTGGGGGCGCACTGAACCCTTATGAGGGTGGGCGGGGAAGTGTTTGTGAGTTACCACCCTACACCCCGATTTAGGTGCAAGAATTCATGGCAGAGGCCGAGCCCTGTGCCCTCTGACCCCAGGGTTTGTTCCGTGGAAGGAGTGCACGGAGAAGAGCCTGCTCCTGTCGGGCTGCAGGTCAGAACTGCCCGGGCCAAACTCCAGCCCGTGCAGGAAGGGACTTTTATTTAAGGCAGCCTTATAAAAAAGCAGGGAAGGTCAGCTTGGGAGGGGAGCGAAGAAAACTCTTTGGACCCACTTGGCACAAATGGTTACCTAGGTCAAATGGGTGGGTGGCTATTTTTGAGCTGACCTACATACCTATTTGCCTCTTTATCTTTTTATTATCACACGTGGTTATTATGGGAGCTTTTCGTTAGCACTCGCTGCTGCATCTGCTGAGGGCTGCACAATGAGGCTTGTGTCGTCATTCTCCCAGAAAGCTTTAAGAGTCTCTGGCCCAGGAAAGGACATCAGTAGGCCCGCAGAAGCTTCACTAAGTTCCTTCCCAAAGGAGCAGGATCCGAACCCAGATGCACCAGTCCAGAGACGATTAGCCTTGGAGGCCAGGAATGACGTTCAGATTTGACAGCAATGTCCCTGAGTCTTGCCCAGGCTGGTTTAAAAGCCCCCTCAGCCTGGGCCTCATTGCTTGCCAAAGGTGACCTGTGGTGCTACAGCCCCACACTATGGCAGGTGAGGCGGCTTCCCTTTACAGGTGGAGAAAATGAGGCAGAGACTAGTTTTGGACAGAACTTGATTTGGGAGTTGCTGCCTTGGTTGTGGAGGTAACTTTGTTATCTTAAGGAGAAACAACGAGAGCCTAGAACTGTCTATTTTACTATTGCTCTGCTTCTCACTACTTTTAGAGCAAGTCTGGCTTCTTACCTCGGCCTCACAAACCTCCAGCTTGACTATCTCTAGCTGCATCTCCTTCCTGAAGCCAGAAGGGGAAAAATCACAGATGGTTCTAATTATCTCTGAAATGCTCTTAAATTTTCCTTAAAGTACAGTATGCCTGGCTTTGTGTATACAACTTTGCACAGTAATACGTATGTAGATGTGCAAAATATATACAGCCACATACAGTGGATCACAAAGAGAACATCAGCAAAGTATAAGCATATAATTTACAATATTTTTAATCACGCTAACGAGAAACAGACACATAGACCTGGGAGTGAGACTGCAGAGGTAACAGATTTCTGTCTTCTCCCATCTGGTGCCCTCTCTGAGGCATGAAATCTTTGGCTCCCAGGAGGAGAATGGGGGATGCTTGCACTCCTTAAACTGCTCTTTTGTGCTTGGATTTTCTTTCAAGGCTGGTATAGTTGACTTTGCTCAGGTGCCCTGTGGGTTGCTTTTCCTCTGTGAAGTCAAATATCTTCCCTTCAGCTTGTTCCCATCTTCACACAGATTACCCTTCCCAGATGCCCTTCTAGCTCTTCTGACTCATACTCCAAGCTTGTCTAAGGGCCCTCCAGGAGCCCTTTTCGAACACACTTGGAAAGTTCCATGTTCCCTGGCTGGGGAGTGCAGGACAGGGAGTCCAGCCCAGAGCTGCTTGCCTGTGAAGCTAGTGCTCAGTTCTCAGAGCTGTGGATGAGCTATGCTCTCTTCTCACCTGATGTATATTGAAATGATCCTCTCCTGGGTGTGATGTTCCATCAAGTTGTAAACTCCTCCAGATGTCACCTATTTTAAATCTTTAAACACCTAACACCACAACTCCCCCCAACACACACACACCCCTACCTCTGTATGTTATCTACATGTGATATATGCTCAATAAGTATTTGGCCTGGGGAACTCTGCTACCACTGAGCTCTGATAGTGTGTCTTACTGTCACAGAAAGTTAAAACTGAAAGGGGGATTTCCCTTCTCATCAGCTGAGAAGAGTAAAGGGGAAGTGGCCTAGAATGGGAACCAGATCCCACGGTCTGCCGGCTTCACTGGCCCTCGCTACTGGTGGCCCCATCCCATCTCCTTGGTTGTTTCCTTTCAAATCCCTCATCCCATATGTAATTATCCATGTATTTATCTGTGTGGATGTACAATGCCTGTCTTTCCCACTGAACAAGCTCTGAGAGGCTGGGGTCTGTATCTGTTTCATCTCAGAGCTCCAGTGCCCGGCACAAGCCAGGCCCCCAGAGTTGTCAGTATACAAATATGAAAAAGAAAATGAATATCCACGTGGCCTGAGAACCTCCTTCCACTTTCCCAGGGCAGCACTGAGATTGGCTCAAAAACTGCACGGTCGATAGGCTGTCTTTGTCAGGACCTCTAAGGCTAACACCCTGTCCTGAGCTTAAGACCTAGGAGGAAAGATAAGACACCTCGTGTATAACCCTAATGCAAGGAAGACAGCTGATCGAGGAATGATAGACTGGGTGTTGCAATCCAGCCGCGGTGTGGAAGGCAGATTGGAGGCTTGAGACCAGAGGCTGGGAGAAGTTCGATAGTGACAGAAAAAACTGAAAACCAACTTGAGTGTCTGTGGCAAACAGTTAAATAAGCTCCAAACCATGGAGCATTATGTGGATGTTAAAAAGAGTGAGGTCAGTTTTGGAAAAATGCCCAAGATATGTTGTTAGGTAAAAAGGACAAGTTGCAGAACAATTTGTATCCTCTAATCTCATTCTGAAAGAAAAACAGAGGACACTCCCCAGCAGACACACACTTACATGTGCAGAGAAAACATCTAGACGGATACTGTCCACAGAGGTTATCTCTGAGGGATGGAGGGGAGGGAAAGGCTTTTACTTTTTTACTTCATATCTTTTTTTGTTTTTCAGGTTAAAAACTAAGGTTACTTTTATTTTGCTTTGTAGAGACACTGGAAATTGGATTTTTATCATGAGCTTGTATTACTCTAAGAGATTTTTGGGTTTTTTTTGCTGTTGCAGGACTGCTAACGGGGTTTTGGGTTAGATAGAGGTGGGGTAGGGCAGTGGAGACCCAGTGAGAAGGGGGCGCTGACAAGATCTGGACAGAGGGAGGGAGGGTCTGGGACAGCTCTGTGGTTCCAGATGGGGAGAAGTGAGGATGGCTGTGGAGACAATTGTGGAAGCATGGGGCAGCGTAGGAGAGGCTCATTCAAGGTGACTGACCGCGACAGTGCCTGTGACCCTGGGTAGGGGACAAGGAGCCCAAGGCCAGGAAACTAACTTTTGGGAACAAGGGCAAGGAAAGGAAGAAGGTCGACCTTTAGGACCCTACGGATTCCTTGACTGTTCCACCATCCTTTGAGTACAGACCGTTCTTGCTGCAGCTTGGAAATAAACAGAGCAAGGAGGGGCCAGAACCAAAGGCAGCAGGAGGAGTCGGCCAGCCTTCCACTGGCCGGTTGCGGGCGCGGCCTGGGTCTCTGCCCTCCCCCTGCCTGCTCTTGTGGGCACATGTCCAGGCTCTGGTGAAAGGTCAAGGCTTCTAGCCCCTTCTGGAGGCAAAGCAAAGGAAATCTGACTAGAATCAGGAGCAAAGGAAACCAGAACACTGCTGTTCATGGAGAGATTGGGAAAGAGGGAGCTGAGTTGGGGCAGGAGAAGTTTCTTGGCTCAGATAAGCCCATCAAAGCCTGGAGAAGGTCAAAGATGAGGAATGTTCTGTGATTTCTAAGACAGCAGCTCAATTTATCCCGTGAACACTTGCTCTGAGCCTGAGTCCAGTGCTAGGGCCGCCACCGTGCACACTGGGTAAACCCTCCGCAGAGGGACTATGTTGGGAGTCCTACCTCCATGTCTCCCCAAAAGCACCTGTGAAAGGAAAGGGGGAGACGTCTGCCAGGGGGCACTTTCACAGGGGCCTATTCAGTCAGCACTCCCGCCTCCTAAAGGAAGTGTTCTTTTACAAATCAAGAAACTGAGGCTGGGGAAGATAGTGCCTTGCCCCTGACCACATGGTTAGGACGTGTTAAAACTGGGATTCGAACCTGGGTGTGCCTGTGTCCCACTTATAATTTGGTTGCTTGGAGCTCAGAACACATTTTCCCATCAAAATAATGCTGTAAGTGGTGGTTTGGTTGCCATAATGGCCTAGCTCACCCAGGGTATAGCTGGAATTAATTCTATGTTTCAGTGTGGTTGTGGATGAATCAGGCTTCTGTGGGCTAGCCTGGAAACCCACAGGAGAGGGAAAATGCATTTCAGGGTGTGCCCAGCTGGGAACTCTTGCCCTTACCACAGTGCCTGATTCAGGGCAGTCAGGGGATTGGTGGCTCAGGGAGCACTTGTTCATTTCCAGAGCTCTTCCAAGCCAGCTCTGGTGAGTTCTAGCTGTTCATTGGAGGGGACAGAGCACTGGGCAGTTTTGGGGTTTCTAAGACAGGGAGTGTTACGTGAGAATGTGCACTGATTTTCAGACTCTGACCATTTTAGTCCTCTCTCTTCTTTCCTTACACTGCCTCTCAGCTTCCTGCAGTCATCTTTTATCTTCTTCCTCTAGGATGGATCCTAAAGACAAGATCTAGGATTTCTTTTCACCACTAAATCTGATGTCTGCCTGTGAAGTATGTGGGCAATAATGACTGCACAGGGTTAGGAGTGATAGAGATCAGAGCAGCTGCTAAGAGAAGCATGGGTCCATCAAAGCTTCTAGGGTGACTTCAGGGAGAGCAATCACACATTCATTCAACAAACATTGGCTGCAGGTGTGCTGGTCAGTGCACTCATTCCTTTCTTGGCATTTCTGTTGCCAGAAGAATCCTGGGAAGGACTGAATGTGGGTCTCAAACCCAGAATCTTAGCATTGGAAGAAATCTTTTTCCAGATGGAAACTGCAGTCATTCATTAATTCAGGAAGGTCTGAGTGTCAGGCTAACTACTGAGAGTACATAAATCCTGGAAATTGGGAAGTGACTTGCCCAGCATCTCAGCTCAGGGTCCCCATGCCTGGACTAGTACCTGACCTTTCAGGCCACGCTCATGGCCTTTCTGCCTCAAGATATATCCCAGTCAGTTTTTAGGATTCCTCTGATTCGGAGCCTAGAGCCTAGGGGAAGGCCACAGGGAGGTGGCAGGTTTCCTTCCTCGTGGACAGTAACAACGGCTGGACTCGACCCTGAAGTGAGAACTAGAGTTCCCACTGGCGGGGTTCTGGAGACATAGGAGACATTTCTCAGTTCTTTCAGTGAGCCACTGGCTCTTTAAATTCAGGTCTTCATAAGTACTGTTACCTCTGCTTGAAGCTCCCTTTCCCAGCCTCCTTCCTCTGGCTAATTCCTAACTCCCCTTTGGGTCTCAGTTTGAAGAGCTCTTCCTCAAGGACTTTTCTGGGTCCTCAGCATCCTTAGGTCTCCCTGCTCTGCACGCGGTCACATCACTCTGGACTTGCTCTAGGATAACCCTGGACCCTTGGAATTGTTCTTGCTTATTGAATGCCTTTCTTTCCAGAAGACTCTGATCTCTAGGAGGGGCCAACACCATGGTTGCCTTTCCTTTGTATGTCTGTTTTTAGCAATTGTGTGCCCTTTATCAACAGTGCTTACTTAGTACACAGTAGGTGCTCAATGTGCTGTTGGGAATGACTGTGCTCCATAGCTACAGGCATGGCCTTCCTTTCCGTGAGAGATTTCCATTCAGGTCCTTCAGCAACTGTTTACCAAGGAACAGCATACCCCCAGGATACAAGGATGATTTGGAAAAAGAGGCTTTGACAACCCACAACTCACTTTGAAATTGGTAAAAATCTCTTCTAACCAGAGTGCTTCTACCCGCCTCCTAAGGCCCCTTTCCTGCCCTACTGGCCCATTGATTCTTGGCTCCTGGGGCTGGGGCCCAGCACACTCCTCTGAGTTTGAAGACCTACCCAGGCCCTGAACAAGCCAGGCCTGCTCTGGGGCTTCACACAGGCTCCTGGTGGCAGGTCCAGGGAGCTGAGGCACAGGGCAGACAGCACTGGGCTCTCCAAGCTCCTCTGGACAGTTCTACACCACATGCCTGAGCTTTTAGTTGTTTTGGAGAATTTGTTAGGAAATCACCTTTTCCTCAGATTCATCTGGAGAGGAATTTTGAGGGTAAAGGCTTACATTCATTTTAATGATTTGAAGTGCTGGTCTTAAAATAGTTATCCCTAAAGTGTCAGGTTTGCACAGCAAGTAAAAGACATTACTCTGCCAACAAAAGTCCATATAGTCAAGGCTATGGACTTCCCAGTGGTCACACATGTTTGTGAGATCTGGACAGTAAAGAAGGCAGAGTGCCAAAGAATTGATACCTTTGAACTGTGGTGCTGGAGAAGACTCCTGAGAGTCCCTTGGACAGCAAGGGGATCAAACCTGTCAATCTTAAAGGAAATTAACCCTGCATACTCATTGGAAGGACTGATGCTGAAGCTGGAGCTCCAGTATTTTGGTCATCTGATGTGAATAGCCAACTCATTGGAAAAGTCCCTGATGCTGGGAAAGATTGAGGGCAGGAGAAGAGGGTGTCAGAGGATAAGATGGCTGGATGTCATCACTGATGCAGTGGACATGAACTTGGGCAAACTTTGGGAGATGGTGAGGGACATGGAGGCCTGGCATGCTGCAGTCCATGTTGTTGCAAACAGTCTGACACGACTGGCAACTGAACAATAAAGTGTCAGGACATCTGGGTACAAAGACCTTGAATTTCTGATTTTGGTTGTTCCTCCCAGTTTCCCAGAGCCTCAGTTTTGTCATCTGAAGGATGTTTTGTCATGAGGAACATGAGATGTTGTTACATGACAATGCCAAGCAAGTTGAAGACGCTTCATGATGACTGGAAACATCAGTGCCGACAGTCTGGTCGTGGGGCCTCACGCAGTAGGGAGGGCACAATGGAAGTGGCCTCCTGGGGTCCCACAGCGGGCTTCGTGTGGTGCAGGTGAGTAAAGGCTGAGGCTAGTGAGAGGCAGCACTAGGACCCAGGGGCTGAATCTGGAGCCGGCTCAGCTGGGTAAGTTCACAGCCAGAACACAATGTTCTCAGTGTACCCACAGGAAACCCTGAAGAGGAGAACTGCACATGGCCTTCTGCTGGGTGTGTTCTGGTCCTAGCCTTTTATTCTTTTTCCTAACCTCAGTCCCCACTTTCACATCCTGTAACCTGCAGAGCTGCAGGGCCCCACCCTGCTGGGCTGGTCCCAGGCCCCGGGAGAGCAATCAATGCAGGAAGCCCAAAACCTGGCTGGCCTTCACCATTTTCAAATAAGACCGTTTACTTCTAACCTTGGTTTCCTGAATCAGCCCTTTGTGATGGAAACTTTTCACTTTGCGGAAGGCAGACACCGGGGACAAAGTTGGGTTTCTAGCTGAGGCGAGGGTCTTGGCTCAGAAGCAAGGGAAACAGCTGATAGCTCTGAACCACCTCCTCCCTTCCTCCCTGAAGGCCAGACTCCACCTGGGATGGGGCAAGGGCCTCCACGGCTGCTGCATAAATCAGAAGGAACTGGGAGCTGCCTGGGAAACCAGGGCCAGGTTTGGAGCAGAACATTGTATGATGTGGTTCCTAGTTTTTATTTCCACGAATGCTATAATATGTTATCCTACCGAGCTATTTTTATTGAATGAAAAGATTTTAAAAAAGCAAACCTCTACAAAACCAACAGCCCTCTGTTACAGGGAAGGACAAGGTGAACTTTTCACTTCCTTCCCCACAGCCTATCAACTCATCTGTGGTTCGGTGTCACCCACACTTCCGTACTATATTCAATCTCAATTTTTGCCTCCTTGTTTTTGAAACTGCAAGAGCAAGGCTTTTAAACTCATGTTGCTCCTGCATGTTGCATGAGGCTTGCAAAAGAGTCTTTTTAGTGAGTTGTCACAACTGATTGCAGAGAGGCCAGATGCCAGCCTGGAGGCAGAGGTAAGCCCAGAGAGTAAACAGTGGGGGAGTCTGTGAGCAGCCAGCACCGCCCAGCTGTACTCAGCAACCTGAGCTGTTGGGGGCAGCAAATAAGCAGCAAAGCTCTTCCTTTATGACACCTACATGTCTGCCTCCTTAATGAGGGGCCTGGTCATTGAAAATAAACCCTGGTGCTTATATTATGCTCCATTAATAAGGGTTTTTCCACTCTAGCATTTCAGAGTCTTTTCCCAAATCTTGATTTGTAAGAGTTTTAGCTCACCACAGGCTGATAAAGAGATTCGACTGGATGCTTCCCAGATTTGTCCAAGCTCAGGGGTTCCCTTCTTAGAGAAGGAACTTCCCAAAGCCGGCACTACTGCTACTCCGGGGAAGCAAGCACAAAACTTGCAGCTCCCAAAGACCTGGGGTCTAGTTTTAAGTCTGCCAATTTGCTGTGCAACCCTGTGCGAGTCACCTGCTCACTTGAGACTTCAATATCCTCATTTATAAAAGGAGAGGGTTTGGTTAAACATCGTCGCTGTTACAGGTGTAATTGTGTCCCTTCTCAAAATTTATATATTGAAGTCCTAGCCCCAGTACTTAGCGTGTGACCTTATTTGGAGATGTTGTTGTTTAGTCACTAAGTCATGTCTGACTCTTCGCATGCCCATGGACTGTAGCCTACCGTGCTCCTCTTTCCATTGGAATCTGGCAAGAATACTGGAGTGGGTTGCCATTTCCTTCTGCAGAGGAACTTCCCGACCCAAGGATCGAACCCACATCTCCTGCCTTGGCAGAAGGGTTCTCTATCACTGAGCCACTTTGAGATAGAACCTAATAAAGGTAATCAAGTTAAAATGAGGTCAGTAGGGTGAGCCCTAATCTAAGATGATGATGGGCATCCTTAAAGAAAAGGGAGATTTGGACACAGACGTGCACGAGTGATGATGATGTAAAGAGACACTGAGAGGAGGTTATCATGTATAAGCCAAGGAGAGAGGCCTAAAACAGATCCTTTCCCTCACAGCCTCCAGCAGGAACCAACCACGGTGAACCAACCATGGTGGCATCTTGATCTTGGGCTTCCAGACTTCAAAACTATGAGGTAATTAAGTTTCTGTTGTTTAAGCCACTCAGTCTGTGTACTTTGTTAGTGGCAGCCCTAGCCCAAAGGAATGCAGTTGCCAAGGCCCTTCAGCTCTTAGACTATGGGATTCTTTCCTGCCATCCCTTGGTGGCTTCCTCTGCCCCACATAGCCTTTCTGCTACCCTCTCCCAGTAAGTAAATGGCATTATGTGTCTGAAGTGCTTAGCACAGTGCCCCACATATAGTAATTCCTCACTACGTATTAACCATGATGAACGTTCTTCGAGTCTCCAGTGCCTGGATATGACCTGTACCTACCCCGAGAGCCTATGTGCCAAGTGAGAGGCGTGGGTGCTGGGCCTGGGCCCTCATGTTCACTCACTGAGGCCTTTCCTATCCCCCTTGCCAGCTTTTCTTTTTTTCTTTTTGAAAACATTAATTAATTTGGCTGCATTGGGTCTTAGTTTGTGACACGCAGGATCTTTTCAGTTACAGCATGGGGGATCTTTGTTCTTTGATCAGAGACTGAACGGGGACCCCTGCATTGGGAGTGCAGAGTCTTAGCCACTGGACCACCAGTGGAGTCCTCCTCCCCTCAGCAGCTTTTCAATTGAAGAGCATTAGATTGACACCTTCTAGGAGCCCAACTCTTTTCTCATGGAAGGTTCATTTTGGCCACAGAGCCAGCAGGACTCAAAAGAGACTGCAAAAGCTCAGGATAGATGATGGTTTCTCTGTTCTTAGATTCAGTGATTCCCCAGGGTCATGAAGAGGTGTAGAACTCTGAGGTTGAGCCTCTGCTTTCCTATTTCCCAGTGAGGACGCCCTCTGGTTGGCAGCAGAGTGAGTAAGTCTTAACGACGGGTGCAGCCAGGGCTTGCGCTCCCAGACCGTGCAGTGCTGCCTTCCTCCTTGGGCATCCCTCCCCGCTTCTGCTGTTTTCTAGCTCTGCTCTCAGAATGAATTTTCCTCTGTGCCGAGAGATGGCATGGGGATGATGTCTTGCTTTCTTCCTGGCTCCAGAGTCCGTAGGTCTCCGGAGGCAATAGTGCCTGGGTCCTCCAACTGCCATCTCAGGCTGGCTGGGAGACTGTGATTTTCCTTTTCATGATCAGGAGTGCTTTCAAAAAGCGCTCTAGCCTTGAGCATTGAAGCAGTATCACAGAATGAGCCTTGAGTCTTCTCTGAGCAACGACAATGGTCCAGGATAGAAGGTCCTAGGTTGTCCTCTAGGCAGTATGTTGGAGGGCTTAGTTGCCCTGACTTCATAGAATATTCCAGATTTACTGTATTTTGGAGACTGCAAAAAGTTAAGTGGGTAGAATCTGACTTCAACAACCTTCAAGCATGAACTTTAGGTTTGCTAAACAGATGAAATGCCCATGCTTGTGTGGTTTATATGCCTGGAGATTTCTGAGAATAAGGAGAGGGAGAGAGGGTGTGGGAGTTTACTTCAGGCTTTCAGGGCCAGGCAAGGAAGGAGGAGAAACCAGTCGGGGGGGAACAACATCTGTCCACAACGTCTATATACTTTAAATTTGATCCCTTCAGACTGCCTCTTATCCTGGTTTGGCTCAGAGCCCAGAAGGGAGGTTCTTTCAGTAATTCTGAACTTGGAACATCTGCCTTCCCCTAAAAGTAAGTAAATAAGTACAAATCTGTAAATGCTTAGTTTCTCTGCCAGAGCAACAGTACTGTGAACAGTATTGCCTGCTGCTGCTAAGTCGCTTCAGTCGTGTCCTACTCTGTGCGATCCCATAGATGGCAGCCCACCAGGCTCCCCCATCCCTGGGATTCTCCAGGCAAGAACCCTGGAGTGGGTTGCCATTTCCTTCTCCAATGCATGAAAGTGAAAAGTGAAAGTGAAGTCCCTCAGTCGTGTCAGACTTTTAGCGACACCATGGACTGCAGCCTACCAGGCTCCTCTGTCCATGGGATTTTCCAGGCAAGAGTACTGGAGTGGGGTGCCATTGCCTTCTCTGACAGTATTGCCTAGTGGCTGGTAAAGATCACTTCGATGCTTTATACCAGACTACGGGGCTTAAGCTTCTGGGCCCTGAGGAGCCTGCTTCCCGAGTTATTTATTGTCAAGGGCAGGATCCTTGGCCTCTTAGGTGTACCCTGGGCCCTGTCAGAGAAATGCTGTCTTGATGGAAAGTAGAGCGTGGCTCAGAACAGTCTGGTTTTTGCTTCCTTCTCCTGAGAGGGCACACCCTTCCCCAGTACAGGCTCAGCTCCAGCCACACCAAATGACTTGGAGTTCCACAAATGCACGTGCTAGTCGCTATACTTGGAATGCTTCTCTGGCATCTTCCGCTCTAACCCCGACTGACCAGTCTGCTCAGGCCCAGGCTCACCTTCCCTAGGAAAACTTCCTTGTCATTTTCCCTTGCTTCCCACCACCAAGCCCTCTTGGCTTCCACAGCACCCCATCTAGACCAGAGTCATGGAGTTATGGTGCTGTATAGATTCCATATTTCTCTTTACTTGTCTGCATTTTTCACTGGTCCAAGTGTTTTCTAAACTGGCTGCAGGAGAGTTACACAAGACCCCCAATCATAGACCTGTTGGATCCCAGGAATCAGGCCAACGAGTCTGTATTTTTATTAAGCTTAATTCTGAGGCACAGCTAGATTTGGGAACTATTGCCCCATCTTTGTACTTCTGTTGCCTTACATATTACCAGAGACATAGTAGGCCCTCAAGAAATGTCTGACCCTTCTAATCTCTCTCTGGTAACCTCTTCTTGTTTTCACTTCCTTCCCTCACTAGCCCCAGACCATTTGCTTACCCTCTTGTGCTTCCCGTGTAAAACTGTAACCACCAACTATGCGTTTTTATTTTTTTCTATTCCTACTGCCAGGCTGCTAGGAGATCCTGGGAAACTTCTCCAATGACTGGTGCCATGGCAAATTTAGGGACTTGAACTGCAAATGGCCCCTGAATGTGCTTGGCAGCTAACCCTGGTCAACTCCTTCCCGTTCTTCATAGGGACCATTCCCAATCCCACTGTTCCCGCCGCCTCCTGCCACAGGCCACAGACCAACTTGCCTCCTGCATCACAGAGAAAATAGGAGCCTTCTGATGGGAACTCCCTCGACTTCCTGCCACCTCACCTGCCTTTACCCACATCAGCGCTACCCTTTTGCCCTCCCTCCCCTCTAATAATTACTCCCCCTGGGCTCTGGATCCCACCCCTCCCACTTGTCAGGGACCTCACACCCTCAATCATGCCCTCTCTCTGGCCTCTCCCAAAAACAAATGTCTTGACTGTGTTTCCTCCTTTAACTGTCACCCTCCCTACCCCTCATTTTTGATTCCCCTTACCACTGAACTTCTTAAAAGTGTTGCCGAGATTTGGCCCCACGTTTTCACCTTCCACTCACTCTCCCAGCCACAGCAGACTGGCTCCGCCTCCACTGTACCACTTAGGTGGCTGCTCTTGGGACAAGGTCACCAACAAGCTCCTTGGTAAAGTCCAAAGGCCTGCTCCACCCCTGTCACTTAACTGCTTGGCTACACCAGATTCTGGTGTTTGCAGCAGCCTCCTTCTTAAAATGTCCTTTCTCCTGGTTTCCCTGATGCCATATTCCTCATTTTCCAGCTATTTCTGGTGACTTCCTGCCAGTTGCTTTCCTGGGCTCCTCTTCCTCCTCTGAGAAGGTTCCAGTTCTCTTCTCACTCTGGGTTCTCTCCCTGGGCAGTGCCATTCATGCCTACCTTTGGCTGCATATCTCTAGTCTGGAGATAGTTTGAAAAGAAAAAAAAGTGAAACTGAAGTTGCTCAGTCATGTCCGACTCTTTGCGACCCCGTGGACTGTAGCCTACCAGGCTCCTCCGTCCATGGGATTCTCCAGGGAAGAGTACTGGAGTGGGTTGCCATTTCCTTCTCCAGGGGATCTTCCTGACCTAGGGATTGAACCCAGGTCTCCCGCATTGCAGGCAGCCGCTTTAGCCTCTGAGCCGCAAGGGAAGCCCAGAGATAGTCTGCTGCTGCTAAGTCACTTCAGTTGTGTCCCTCTGTGCGACCCCACAGACGGCAGCCCACCAGGCTCCCCTGTCCCTGGGATTCTCCAGGCAAGAACACTGGAGTGGGCTGCCATAGAGAGTCCCAAATCTAACTCTAGCCCAGATCACTCTCCTGAGCTATAGACCAGAGAGTCACCTGCCAGATATCTCCTTGAATCCACATCTCTCCCTGTATCCCTGTCTCAGTGAATAAAGAATCCTGTCCATCAGCTACTGAGACACAAAACCCAGGTGTCCTACCTGAATTCTCCAAGTCTGACGAGTCACCAAGTCCCACATAGGCTATTCTTTGAGTAACTCTCAAGTTAAAATCTATCCTCTTGTCTCCACATTTTTAAGGTTGCAGTTAGGTCTCCCCTGGATTTCCATGACAGCTTCCAAAAGGATCTGGGTCTTATCACCACTAATTTGCCACTGTTCCTTGCAGCTGCTGCTGCTAAGTTGCTTCAGTCATGCTCGACTCTGTGTGACCCCACAGACAGCAGCCCACCAGGCTCCCTTGTCCCTGGGATTCTCCAGGCAAGAACACTGGAGTGGGTTGCCATTTCCTTCTCCAATGCATGAAAGTGAAAAGTGAAAGTGAAGTCGCTCAGTCATGTCCGACTCTTAGCGACCCCATGGACCGCAGCCTACCAGGCTCCTCCATCCATGGGATTTTCCATGCAAGAGTACTGGAGTGGGGTGCCATTGCCTTCTCCTTCCTTGCAGCTGAGATTTCTAAAGTGAAACCAGATCTTGTCATTCTCCTACTTTAAACCTTTTAATAGTTCCCCACTGTCCTCTAGTTGAAGTTCAAATTCCTTAGCAAAACCCATCAGGTCCAGTTTTGTCTCATCTCTTGTCTTTATGAATCATCCATAACAAAGCACCCTCAGCCCCACAGAAGCATGATGCCCTTCCTCACTCTTGGGCCTTTGCATATTTTGTAGCTTCCATCTAGAAAGTCCTTTCTTCTCACCCCACCTACTTGTTCTCCAGGTCTTAGCCTAAACAGCATCCTTCCAGGAAGTCTTCTCTGACCCTTGCTCAGCTGGGTTAGCTGTCTCTGATTTTACATGGTTTCTGTTACCAGACAGTTTTTAGACTGAAAACTACTCTTTTATCTCTTTTAATATATTTATATAAACTCAAAGCTGATGACTGTGTCTTGATTGACAGCATATCCTCAGCTCTAGCAGATGCTAGACACAGAGTAAGTGCTCAGTAAATGTCTGTAGAATGAATAAAAGACATTTGGAAATAAACATCCTCTCTTTTCCTTTGGAGAAGGAAATGGCAACCCACTCCAGTATTCTTGCCTGGAGAATCCCAGGGATGGGGGAGCCTGGTGGGCTGCTGTCACTGGGGTTGCATAGAGTAGGACACGGTTGAAGCGACTTAGCATGCATGCATGCACTGGAGAAGGAAATGGCAACCCACTCCAGTATTCTTGCCTGGAAAATCCCAGGGACAGAGGAGCCTGACAGGCTGCCTTCTATGGGGTCACACAGAGTCAGACACGACTGAAGCGACTTAGCAGCAGGAGCAGCAGCAGCAGTAGCTGTTGTTCCTGTTAATAAACTGTATGTTGTTTCATTACCTTCCCTAAAGAGCTTATATTATAAAAATCAAGTAAGTGAATTCTGGAGAAACAGCTTCTCTAGGGAGGCTGGACAGGCTGGAGAAATCAGAGTATCTGGAGAGGTGGAGAGCAGCTTGTGGATGCTGACGTGTGGAACCACCATTGGGCCTGTGTGCAGGAGCCTATGAGGAAGGCAGGGAGCCACCAACATCATTTGCCCAGGCTCCTCCCATGGCTGTTTAGGACACAGCTTCCACCTGTCAGTACAGCATTATAGAGAGCTCTGGGCTGGGCTCTGGCTTATTGTCTTGTCAATTAATTACCTTAGGCATTTCTCCAGTATGGATGCTGCACCATAGCTAGCCTAGCTTCTACATGAGGGTAAACATACACATTCATACTTCCATTCACTCAATAAATACCTGCAGCACACCTACTATGTGCCAGCTAGTGTTCTAGGTACTGAATATACATAAAGCAATGAGACACATAAGGGCCTGACAGCCTGTTAACCAGGGGGATGAACTAGATGGTCTCTAAGGTCTCTTCCACTCAGCTCTAAATTCTGAGACTCCCTCTTTGACCAGATGCAAAATAAGAAGGCATGCTAGTAGCACAGGGTCCGGTTCCAGCCTCCTCCTCCCATTCTTCACTCTTGGTACCATCTCCATCCAAACTCAGCTCTGGGAACCCAGAGATCCAGCATCATTTGTATTCTGCCTGCAACCCCAAACTTCCCCAAGTATCTGTTAGTTAAACCCTGTACCTCTTTTGTGGAGAGGATTTGTCTTGCTTGGAACTTTGGGTAATTACAAGGCAGCCAGGCAAGATATTGTAGGCAAGGTTAGGTGGTCTGACAAAAGGAAAGGGAGAAGCATAACTGCCTTCTCCTCCAAGTGTAGTATCTCTTGGGTTTGCCTGAAAGGGAACCATGTCCTTGGGCAGGTTCTTCCTCTTTCTTATGGATGATAGGCATCTCCTGGTCCTGTCTCTTTTCTTCTACCTTTGGCTTGGCCTTAAGGTCCAAAGTTTCTACCACTTCAGTATCTGGTGTTCTGATTAGGAACAAGGAATTCAAGGACTCCCAATCATGCCGGGGAAGGGAAGCCGAGGGCTTCAAGTAAATGGACTGAGCAGAGGGATCCTAGGGTTAGAAACTTGATTTAGAGTTCCAGACCACTGTCATTCCAGGTGAGTATCAGGCATAGGATGGCACTAATAAATAAAGCACTTAAGCTTATCAGTGAAAACTGAGGACTTCAAAGCAGATCTTAGATAATTAAAGTCAAAAAATAAGATTTTTAACTTCATAAAAGTAAAACCAGCTTTATGTAAGTTTACTATTTATGTCTCATTACCATGAGACAAGGCACTTATATGGAATTATGTATCAAACTGATATGAACAATCTTTATTAGCAAATTCTCCCTTCACATTTTCTGGTGTATGACGAACTAGAAGGCATAAAGGTTTGAAAGGCCTATATTGTTAACTATACTTTGGTTAATAATCTTGGTACCTTACCTTCTCTGTACTGGTTTCCTCAACTGTTAACTGCATTAACTGATAACCTCATTTATCTCACAGGGTTGATGTGGGACTCAAGATGAGACATTTATGAAACTGCAAAGTGTTTTATGCACTGAAACACTCGTTACCGTCAGCTTTAAGATGGTGGCTGTGAAATCCTGGCTGTTAGCTGCCATCTTCCCTGTCTTCCTCCTTGCACACTTAGGTATGTATCCGTTAAGCATCTAACTTTATCATGCCAAATCCTAAAAGGTTATGTAGATACTGACGTAGCTACTTCCTATCAGTCCTTAAAGGAAGAGGCTGTTCCTTATCACCAAGCTCGGAGAGGAAGCAGGGAGGGTGGTACTAAGGTTTATTTCCTCCAGGTAGTTAAATCATTTTGTCATTAAAAAAAAAAAAAAAGGTTTTAGGGTTTTTTTTTGTACGAGGCACTGGGTTGGGGTCAGTGGGATGAAGCATGATACATATATGTGTGTGTATGTATATATATATATATATATATATAAACCTTTCAATTATGTATTATATATAAAATAATCTCAGCTTTGGAGTCTGGCACACTCAGTTCAAATCCAGACTTGGCCACTTACTTAGCTAGGGAGCCTGGGCATGTAGTAATGCCTTCTCTGAGCTTCAAGTTCATCTGTATTAGGGTTTTTTTTTTACACATCTTGCAGTGTTACTGAAAGGACTATAATTAATTCCTTTGAGTGACTGGAACATAATGAGTGCAGAAGTGAGGAAAGATGAACAACAGGTCCATCTTCAAGCCCATAGCATGGTAATAGGAGTTATGGATGAGACATAATGACCAACAGAAAGGTGCAGAGAGGGAGGGGCCATCTTCAAACAGTGAGGGTCTTGTTTCTGGCAGCACTCAAGGAGAAGCTGAATGGTCACTGGAAAAGGTGCTTCAGAAAGTATTTCCACTGAACTCTATAGATCTCTTCAATTTCTAAGGCCATGAAAAGAAATGTACAACTGAGAGAGTCAAAAATTCTTTAAGTTCAATACCAGAGGGTAAAGACGAGGTAATACAGTGTCTGGGTCCTATAGTTACATAAATCAAATGAAAGCTAGTGGTTGCTTCTGAACTGTCACTGAAAATATGATTGAAAGGTTTATTGCAGGCTAGGTATTTAAAATTTTTCCTTTGGTAATCATGAAGATGGTTGATACCCAAAAGGACAATGTTAGGAAACTCAATGGCTTTCAATAATGGAACTAGTTTAGGTTAAGAAGTATTATATGGAAATTAGTGAGTTTGAGGGCTGGTAATTTTTGTGCTCTGATGTGCTTCAGAGACAAGGTTAGTGGACTGAATTGTCAATCAACTGCAACCTGTTTTAAGTTCCAAGATTTTCTTTGGAGTCTGGGCTATGTGGCCATGTGCAGGTCTTTATCTTCCCTGTGCTCAGACTCCTTATCGACTCAATGAGGTCACCACCTCCCTGTCATGGAGTATGTATTAAAATATTCTGAACTCCTGAGATTAAGGCCAACTGCTACTGGGATTTTATTTATTTATAATTAACTAACTCTAAGCAGGTCAGGAACAAGTTATTAATGAGGAGAAAAGCAAATTCTGTCTGGGGCAAAATTTGCATACAATCTAAATGATTCTCCTAACTATGTAGTGTGGATGTGAGGGTCCCATGAGTAAAAACAAAGATTATCTCTTAGCTTATCAGGTTTTTCCTTATCATGGCTAAAAACCTACTTAGATATTGATGATAAATTCATATACTTCTAAAAAGACAAATATCCCTGAGATGAAGCAAATCTACCATTTGTTTAGGAGAAATGGTTTTTAGATTCCCTTTTTATAAAAAAGTAATTTGACCTCTTCCCCCTATCCCAAATCCCTGAGGCTTTGAAAGGATAAAGAAACCAATTTGGAGTTCTTTCAAAGGATTTATTTGCTACAGAATTGCCAGAGCCCACCAACAAGATGAACTCAGGATTTCTGTGTTTAAAAGGATTTTGCTCACTGCTTTATTTTTACAAGAACTTCAACATTCAAAAAGCAATTCTTTTTGCCAGCATTTGGCATGCCTAGAAGAGGTTAGAAAAAGTTAGAATCTATAGAATTAGATGTCTAAAAATAGAAAAAATCCCAAACATTAAAAAATTCCTAATTTGGACAAGTCCTGAGTTGAAATCACATTCATCTGCAAAAAGAAGGGTTTTAGGTCAGAAATGTATAACTCCAGATCCTGACCTTGGACTTGACTGGTGAGGATTCTAGGAACTGTGTGAATGACAGGAGGGATGTCTTTCCTCTGGCCAATTCTGGCATGTGTCCTGGATTGTGAAGTTTTATAAATCTCTTTTAAACTCAAACTTCCTGGTTCTCTGATGTCGATTGTCTAAATCCGATTCTCAATACTTTTTTAAACAAATAAGCAAAAAATTTCCCTGCAAGATCACACACTTAAGAATTTGTTGCTTCTGTATAGGTACAGAGAAACCAAGTATGAATGTGAATTAACAATTCAGTGATGGAGCCGTGAATCTCTGGATGGCTATATACATTGTAAGAAAAGTTCCTTGCTAGACCTGCACTTGCTGTGCACCCGAGATGACCATCCAGGCCAGATTAACCTGAAGAGGGTGTGAACCCCAGCAGCTGCTCGATGGGTTTAAATCGCCACTCATCTGCCTCCAGCTCTTCTACCAAACCAGCTAGTTTTTCCATCCGAGCAACCTGCTGATCTGTAAAGAATCAGGGAGATAGTATTTTTTAATAATAATACACCAAGCACCAAAATGATGACTGATTTAAAAATAATTTCTAGAAGGATTTATCCCCCTCGATATTCTAGTAATGGGGTCTTACCCTATGTTGTCAGAAGACTTAAATCTTTTCTTTATATTTTATTTTTAATTGTAGGATAATTAAGACAATCTTAAAAAAATAGTAGTAGTTATCCTCCATGCCATTTGTCTACTAAATTTGTGACTGGTTACAAGTACTTAAGACTCTGTGCCTCCACTGCAGGGGGAACTGGGTCTATCCCTGGTTGGGGAACTAAGATCCTGTATGCTACAAAAAATAAACAAACCCCAAAAACCAAAAACCTAGGGTTACAAGCAATTGCAGCTCCCCCCACACCCGCCCACCCTAACATTATGTTCTCAGGGGAGAAATAGTCTGGTTTGGTGGTGGAACAGAGTTCCCTGATGCATAAATGAAGACCTGGTGAGGCATGATAGGATAGAAAAGGTGCTACCAGGATCTTCGAATCCAGGTAGACCAAGAGGTATTACATACATACCCGAAGATGCAGACAGTGGTAACAGTGGAGAACAGGAAAAGAAGGTTTCAGGAAGGAGTGGAAAAAGCAATACAAGAGGAGTAGGAAGCATTAACCCCTGTAGAAAACTAACCACTTTGACTTCAAATTTAAGTCTTAATGTAACATTATGAGTGGATTAAGAACTACTGTAGAATGTTCTTGTCTGCAGGCAATTTGGGAAGTCCACTTAAGTAGCCTTGCTGAGTTTTTGTTACAGAGCACTCTGACCTTTCCAAGTCCTCCTCTCCCACCCTTCCACTCCCTAGGAAGTTCATTCTCACAGTTAAGTACACGGTACTCATGTGCTTACCATGTTTCACCTGTTTAAGCGTAGATGCCACTTGATAGCTGAAAACAGATTCACAGAGGAATCTCTCAGAGCCATCTACAAACAGAAGAAGAAAAGTTTTAATCTGCTCCAATCCATTTTAATCTAATGGCTTCCGATAAATGTAGTAAACACATCCATTCTTCTCCCTGTTTTTACTTTCAGGGTCTAGTTTCCAGGGTTTACAAAGAGGGCTTCTGTTTCACTTAGAATTAACACTACTGTGTTATAAAAGCTACTTCTTCTATACCTAGAATGTTAAAATAGTCCCTACACTTGTTCAAGAGTTTAAAAATAGTGTTAAAATAACAAAAACAAGAAACCCCAGTCTGATGTCCTGGTCAACATTTCTCCCATCCTAACCTGACAATTTCTTAATGTTCTCCTATTTTGTATGTCAAGCAAACACTGACAGCTAACAAACTTGGCCATGTGGCCCCAAACTTTCAAAATACAAAGGTACACCAAAACTCTTAATCGGTTTCATCCTAAAAAGTAAAGTTGAAGAAAAATAGCTATTGTCAATATTTTGTATATCAAATTACATCACAATGACCATCACAAAACACTGCTGGGAAATTTCATTCTGTAAACGCAAATTGTAACCTTGATTTTCCAACTAAACCAAAACACTGCAATTTGGATGGTGATAAGAGTATGGTGCAATTTCAGAACCTAGCATTGTACTGATGCCAAGAACTGGATATAAGAAGGTAGCTAATTCAGTCACCCCAGTATACTTGGAAGATGATTGTGAAACATAAGCTAGTTCATGTTATTCCTTATCAGGCAAGGGCTGATACAACAAAACATATCCCGAAAGACGTAGAACTCATGTAGGAAAATGTGACTTCAAAGGGTAGCAGAAACCATTCAGGGAAGGGATCTTATTGCAGAAATTCTAAAACAAATGAAGGGAGAGGACACAGCTGTCTTTTTTTAGGCGGCGGTTCATGCCAACACTACTGGGTGTCAAGCACTCACCCATCAATCATGGGTTGCTGCCGTCAGCCAGGTATTAAGTGACAAGGAGACAGGACTAACATTTTCTGGCTTCATGCTGAGTTTAACGCAAGGCAGACCTTATTTCAGAAGCTCATGATAAATAAGAAAAACCATAGATACTATATTCAAATAGCTTAAATATACAACCAAGAGGGCTTCTAATATTATCTTCAAAATTGGTGCAAAAATATTATTCCATACATAATATGTATGAAAATGATTATGTATTTATATATATATATTACATATTATTTCAAAATATAATTTCATATAGTGATGTAGACTTAGGAGAGTGTTATTCTTTAAATTCAACTTCTTTTCTAAACATTGTCATATGGGATATGATCCCACTCCCTCCTCCCACCCCTATTTCTCTGGCAGAATGTAAGTCATTTGTAAGTATATCATCTAAACTGAGCAAAAATTTAATTTTCAATTAATTGAATATTATACTGGCTGTCCAGTTTAAAGATCTAGGTAAGCCAATGATATTACTGAGTTTTTCAAATAAGGGAAATGGCCTGAAAATAACTATGAATCCCACTATGGGAAGAGGGACTGTGTGAACATTTGACACCAATGATGCAACTTATTATGCCTAATAAATTGTGTAAGTATGCCAGCATTCATACCCTTGATTAAAGAATCAAATTATAACTTAAGTTTTATTTTAGGAAGAGCAAGGCACACAGAATTAGAGCTCTTCTCAGGTGGTTTGATCCTGAACTTGAGGATCTCACACAAGGCAGTGGGGATTCTGGCTCTAAGGACCAGGCCAAGATTTGTTTGCAAGCTCTTGAAAGTGCTACCTCCCACTTACATTCAATCACAGGTGTGATTAGGATAAATGCTTAAATTATAACATTTGCATATTTCCCTTGACAATGAACTTCAAAGCAAAAGGATGTAAGCTAATCTTTCAAAAAGGCACCTGCATATCACTTTGCTGCTCTGTATGTCTATGGAACACATTTTTGCTGATTTGCAGCTCTGTATTAACCACAAAGTCCACTGCTTCTTAGCTACATCCTATTAGTGTGATATCTGTACCAATCTAAAGTCTGGAATTTCTCCAGAGAGGAGTCAGCCTGGGGCAATCTGTCTTCCATTTAGAAATTGTAATCAAACTCTTTGTAACACACCAAGCAGCAATACATCAGCTTTCCTCTTAAGGGACAAGTAAAGGTTATAAATGGTGAAAAGTTCAGTAAATTGTCCAAATCTAACACCACTGTTAACTCCAATAAATAGGATGCTAACAAATTCATTTAAAAGACTATTATCCCACAGCGGGAAAACAGGCGATGGCAGATAGTTAATGCTCCAGTGGCGTATGATGCCACCAGAATTCAGCCATTTCAGGACTGGAAGGCAGTCTCTGATTTGCCTACTAATATATGGGTGAGACAATCCTAGCCAAAGGCAGGGGAATGTTGAAAAGTCCTGTACAATATACTGCTTATGTGAGGTGTCTGATATCAGAGAGCAGATACACAAAAATGTTAGTACACAAGGTTAAGTACAGGTTATTTGGGTTTATTATCCTAGACTCGGGAGGAGGCAAGACCAAGTTGAACCTGTTAAGATAATAAAAAGCACCTAATTGCCTTTTGTTCCCACTCTGAAGAGGCAACTCTTCCTACTCTATTTTCATACAGGCATATCTCAGAGATGTAGGCCTGGTTCCAGATCACTGCAATAAAGCAAATCACACTAATTTTTTAGTTTCCCATTGCATATAAAAGTTAATGTTTATACCATACTGTAGTCTGTTAAGTGTGCAATAGCATTATGTCTAAGAAAAAATGTACATATCTTAATTAAAAAATACTGCTAAAAAATGCTAACCATCATCAAGCCTTCAGGGAAATGTAACCTTTTTGCTGGTGGAGGGTTTGAAATACCGTCAGCATTACCAAAATGTGACACAGAGATAAGCAATGAGTAAATGCTGTTGAAAAAATGGCGCCAACATACTTGTTCAAGGCAAGGTTGCCCAAACCTTTAATCTGTAAAATACCTGGTATCAGCAAAGCCCAACAAAACAAGGTATGCCTGTATTTCATTAGACTATTGTAAGAAAAATGGTCAGGTACACGAGCATTAGATTACTTGCATAATAGTATTGCCTATAAACATAGTAGGATGATGCATCCAAATCTACCATCCCTTTTAATTCACATTTTTTTTTCCATTTATTAATTCACATTTAAGGGTACCATTTTCAATTTAACATTTTTCACTTGACTCGGGATAGTTCAAGGGCTGCCACCTCTAAGTTTTCATAGTTTGTCCTTAACTGTAAATAGCTTTAAAGTACAGGTGAAGCTTTAAACCCAAGGAAGAAAACCAAAACTGGGCACTGCAAATTTAAACTCAATTTAAATTCATTCTACAGAAGAAAGGCAACACAGTCCCCCATGAAGCATACTGGGGTGGAATAAAAGTGGAGAGAACTATCACTTGTTAGAACATCAACATTTAGACTAATCTCAGAAGCCTTTCTTCTTTAATGTTTCCAAGAAATCTGGTGTACACTGACAAAGAATACTGACAGCTCTTGAGACCAAGGAGGTACCGCCTGTATTAAATTCCTCCTGTAGCTAGACTTTAAATGACTTTAATCTTAGGGTTCATTGTTAAATAAGGATTCCTTTTCTGCTGCCATAAAACTCATTAAGCAATTTAAGTGCCTCCAACTTTTGATTTGTTTTGGGAGAAACTTCCTTAATACCAGGTCTCTGCAGCATATAACTTAAGTCATAATTTATTTTTAGTGCCAAATATGGTAAACAAGGCCCTAGATGTTCACTACTTCCAGACTCAGTGATGTTAGCTTGAGTATTCAGTTAACATAATTGAAGAAAACAAAAGGGCAAAGACAGAAGTATCAATACATACACTTCATATGTATCACTAACTACAATATATCATTGTCTACTTCACCAATCATGATTTGAACCAGTTCTAAAAAGTCTTCCTATGTTTGGTCCCAGTCTTCCTATGTTTTCCTGTCACAAGTGATTCTTCTGTCTCCGTTGGCTTAATGCAAACCTCTGCTTTTTATTATACCTGATATAAATGAAGACCACCCCCAAAAAGCTGACTCTTAACTACAGTCTGTGCCTTTCTCAGATATTTCCAGATTAATTTTAAAGTATATTTACTGAAATTTGCAATATTTAAAGCAAAAAGGATCAATATACAATTAAGCACAGATGTGTGCTAGAATCAAGTAGATTTTGAATCTTTAATAGGTTCTTTGCTGATTTTTTTTTTCAAGGTATGAAGAATAGTTTAACAGTTAAGGGCCTCTTTCATGAGACTCCCCTGGATGTTAGTCAAAATGAAGATTCCTGTGCTATAACCTAGACTAATTTGGAATCTCTAGGTGAACCAGAAATGTGCATTTTAAATAAGCTCTTCAGGAGGTTTTAATGCTATTAAGAATTTATTGGTCCATCTCCTAAAGTGACATGAACCTGATGAATTCTAGGTATTAAAGTTGTTTCATGTTTATAGGCTGTGCCCTGATCTTGGCCAGCCAGTTTGCAAATGTGTGCTGAATAAAATGGGGGATGATCTGATGCAAATCCAGCTCCGGTGCTTGAGAAACCACACCGCACTGTCCTGCTGTGGGCCATATAAGAATAGTAGATTGGTTTTTGTTTTCTCTCAGAATCTCTTCATCTATCTGTAGGTGAATTATATTAGAAAAAATATATATGAAACCTACTAACCATAGGGAAGCCGACTGGTACCAGGATAAAGCAAACTGGAGCAGGAGTTTAATGGAATTCCTGGCCCAAGTACTGTGTCTTTTCACATGGTCAAATCACTTTATCTTTTCTGGGTCTAAATAACTCTAAATAACCTCCTTGATTCCCAAAGTCTTTTTCAGTTCCAAAATTCTAATTCTGGAGAAAGATTTGTGTTTTAAAGATATTTTGAAATGAGGACAAGAGATGAAATGTGGAGCTGAAATCAGGACAAACTTATAACTAATCCACTTAATAGCTTCTTGACAATTAATATTCATTGCAGGTCTGAATCCAATTATTCAGCAAAAAGCAGCATGAGATCACCTTCCAACATTTCTCCAGCTCCTTTGGGGTAGGTGAAAAGGGCTTTCCGTGGTGGGGCAAGGTCTGAGACACTGAAACCAGATCCAGTGACAGAACTTCCACTGACCCCACCAGCTGAGGAGGATGATGAGGAGGCAGCCATTTCCTCTCTAGTAGAATTCTCACTTCACTACAGAGAAAGAAAAACAGCAATTGGCAAGTTTATGGAAGTGAGACTGACATTTCATTCCAGCTACCATGAAAGTCAGCATACAGTTTAGTCAAGAATTAGTTTCAAATTTTTCTACCCTCTGTACTCCCACGATCTTTTATGGCTCCTTGGGCCAAAATGTCACTCAGGATTTTAAGTGAAAATATGTTTATTCTTACTTTTTCTACTTAAAACACTACTTCCTACCATTAGCAAACTGTTTATGTCATTTGGGATTGACTGTGGGTGATTTATGGGTTATGAAAGGGTGATATGGCAGTGCCAAGGTAGCAATTTGACTGAGGAAATAAATTATATGAGGATAAAACAACCATGCCTCATGGGACAGTTTGTCTTGGATACATCCTGACCAAGCCACACCAAGAAACTCACTTATAAAATTTTCCAAATAAAATTCCAGAATAACACTGTGTTCTGTTCCCAAGGAAGGGGAATGGTTAGGAAATACATATTGGCCCTTTCATTAAATTAAAACATTTTTTTTCATCCAAATGTAATACCCAAATTGATCACTTGGTGGCGGCCCAAAACTAGAACAAAATAGTTCAAGAATGATCTTAGAATCACGGCCTATTAGGAATTAGAGGGGCTGTGAGTGTTTAATACTATATCAAATTAAAAAATCAAAAGGTCCAAATGTAAATGAGAAAATCTGTACCAAATACATGTCTCCTTTAAAGAGTTCAAAACAAAATAGAAGCTTAGACTACGCATTTACAGAAGATTCTAAAAGGTTTATGTTTTCTATATAAAAAGAACAGTTTTTCTTTCAAACTCAAAACTATCATTCAAGACATAAAACAGCCAGGGTTGAAAAGTGGAGTGCAGAATTAGCACTAACTTTAACACATATAAGCAGTTTTCTGCTGAGATGGAAAGATTACCTACGTAATTTTTAGCTTTAAAGATTTAGGTTAAATTTTGAATGCTACCAGCAGGTGGTAACCAAAGTTAAAGTGAAACTCACAATAAACCCTAGTTTGGAACTGCTCTATAAAGGCAGGCATTCTGATCACCAAGACCAAACATTATGCTTGGCTTATACCAAGTAGCTGTTGATTTAAATAAATGTTTGCTAAATGAGTTAACATTTCACAGGAACCACAAGATTTCTTAAAGATCATCTAATCCAATCCCCCCATTTTGCACATAGGCATACAGACTTCAGCTTATTTGTTGTGCCATTTTTTAAGCAATGGCTTTATTGCATTGTCATGTGCTATATGGGCTTCCCAGGTGGCTCAGCGGTAAAGAATCCACTTGTCAATGCAGGAGACATGGGCTCGATCCCTGGGTTGGGAAGATCCCCTGGAGAAGGAAATGGAAATCCACTCCTGTATTCCTGCCTGGGATCCCATGGGGAGACAGGAGCCTAGTGGGCTATAGTCCTGGGGTCGCTAAGAGTCACACATGACAGAGTGTACTATGTGAGAGGTGAAACAGCACAGTGATTAAGAGGTCAGACTCTGAAGCCTCTTGGCCCAGGTTCACGTCCTGGCTTTATTTGCCATCTGATTCTGGACAAATCACTCAACCTCTCTGCTCCTCAGCTGTCTCATCTATAGAATGCAGATAATGATAGTACCTACATCATAGGTGTCAGGAAGGTAAATATAACTAAAGCATGTAGAACACTTATAGGCACAGTAAATGACAGCTATCCAAAACTACCAATGAATATTTAGTCCTGAATCTTTTTTTCCTCTGCAGATTCCAGTTTTTCATACTTATTATGTTTCAACACACTCACGGGAAATGTCTTAATTCTCTCCATTTGACACAGAGTGTCAATGTCAAATGTCTCTTAGAATGGAAAGTGCATGCTCAGGAAGAGGGAAAATGCACCCCATACTTTCATTTTAAGGTTAATCATCTTAGGAAGAACCCTTTTCTTAGGAAAAGAGGGAGGAGTTGTTTTTCTACTCTCAAGGCCTAGCACAGAACCTGGATTACAGTGTTTCCTGAATGAATAAGGAACAAATGACAGAACATAGGGCTAGCAGAGGATAGAAAAGTTTGATGTCAGGAGGGTTGGTCCTTTACTGGTTTTTCTCCCTCATTCTGTAGATCTATTTACACAACTGTTTCTCCAATTAGGCTGCCAAGCCCAAGGTAGGTGCTCAGTAAAATTTTGTTGAATATTTAAATATTAACCATGAAATAAGCTGGGACTTGATCCAATAAGGGAAGCTGGAACTATTGGCAGTAGAGATTCTTACAGGAGAGCAGAGATACTGCATGGTAGTGTTCATAGTGACAGGATGATCAACACATTTACTTCATGCATGATAGGGATGACCTCGTATTCATAAACCACTTTCCTTCCTAGCAGATACAGGCTTATATTCTTGAAAAGAATCCTTTTTAAAAAGTCTCCTTATCAAAAAGACAAGCAATCATTAAACTCCATCATCAGAAATCATTCCAAATAGCTGGATCACCAATCAAAAAGATGCCGCAGCTAAAAACAGCTTGGGTGGAAAGGTTCTGAAGAGGGGATAGGTCCGAATGTCAGCTGTTCCCAAGCTAACTCCAAGCCATGACCCTACACCCACGCCGACCTCCACCTCACCCCACCTCCCGGGTCTCCAGGGGGCGACACCACTGGCGCCATCCCACTGCGCAGGCGCCATCGCTTGGCCCGCATGCGCAATTGTCTCGTGCGGCCCGAGGAAATTTCCTCTTACACGCCCTCTGCGGCAGGCTCCAGTTCCTCCTCCTCCTTTCTCCACTTTACTAGTCCCTGCAGGTAGGATCCCAGGGATCAGCTCCCTTTCCAGCAAGCTCCCGAGGGTCCCTGAGCCCTCGACCACTTACCTCAGCGGCTTTGGCACTTTACAGCCCCGCCCCCAACTGAAGCGGCTGCTTTTTCAACGACGAGGGCGGCGGCGTGCTCGCGCCCTTGTGAAGGGAGCCCGCGGCGGCCGCGGCGTGCGCGCGCCTGTGCAATGGTGGGCGTGGCCGGGGCGGAGAGCCGCGGCGACCCGGTTCTGGGAGAGACCTTCTGGGTCCTTCGTGTTCTCTCACTACAGCGGTTTTCTTACCACCGCGGGGTCCTCTCTTCGCTTGCTTTGACGTACTGGGTTGATTTTTGCTCGCTTTTATGATTCAGGGTTTCATCTTTCCTCCCGACCTTGTAGGCCTTCTGCTTTCCTCTCTGTCTCTCCAAACCACCACGGAGCAGGATTAAATTGGCTATTCCCCCATCCTTCCTCCCGGAGAAGACAATGGCACCCCACTCCAGTACTCTTGCCTGGAAAATCCCATGGACGGAGGAGCCCTATGGGATTGCACCCCAGGCTGCAGTCCATGGGGTCGCGAAGAGTCGGACACGACTGAGCGACTTCACTTTGACTTTTCACTTTCATGCACTGGAGAAGGAAATGGCAGCCCACTCCAGTGTTCTTGCCTGGAGAATCCCAGGGACGGGAGCCTGGTGGGCTGCCGTCTATGGGGTCACACAGAGTTGGACACGACTGACGTGACTTAGTAGCAGCAGCAGCAGCATCCTTCCTCCTGAGCAGTCTCGTAGCCCAGGGCCTTATAGGAAAGGCGGATGGAGGGTTTGCTATCTCTGAAACAACGCTGTCTTCCAGAGCTTAGTTTGAGGACCTACCCTGACACTGACATCTACTTTTGTGGCGAGCCTTTTTTTTTTTTTTGAGAGGTCCTGGGAAATTGAGTATTAGGGTGTAATGTCATTAAAGTATTGCTAGTTACGCCTCCTCTTTCGATGTTCGAGTCTGTTTACCTTGTATATTGTTACTTCTCACAATACGAAACTAGCTCATTGGTTCTGTAAGCAAATTACCAGTGAAAGCGATTTACTTCCTGAGGTTGGATTGAGCACTAGTGTGTTTAGTAAGGATTGATCTTTTCGGAGGGGGACTGCTTAAGTTATATTGGGCTTCAAGACCATGTACCATATGTGGTAGGAACCTTGGTTAAACATAGCCAGAGCTAACCCTAAGAAGCTTTGTTTCCTAAATTGTTAATTCGTTAAGTGGTGACTAGAAACTTGGTTTCTCCCTGAGTGATGTACAGTTTTCAGCAGTGACCTACAGAAATTGAATTCCTTCCCTCAGCAATGTGTTAGTTTGGAGAACCATGTTGGCTAAGTCATATGTTAACTTTGTTTTGATAGGCAACTGGATCTAATTGTTGAGTATGCATTTCTAGCAGCTGTAAAAGTAGTTAAGGATGTTTTTGTCCTCCCCTTGAGGATATTTTTTTTTTTTTACATTTTTTAAAAAAAATTTATTTATTTTTTTCCCCTTGAGGATAAATGTATTAAATATCCCTAATTCTCTTAACTATCATACTGGGTAAGAGGGTGAGACACTCACAAATGTTCAAATAAGCACAGAGGTTAAATTTTACTCCCTTTAGCTTAAAGTAATGAAGAGACCTCTAGTCTCTCTTCCAAAGTCATGGGCAGGCTCAGTATCTTGTAATCACTTTTTTGAGGACTGCTGAATAGTTTGCAAATTACTGTCTTGAGTGTGCCGGGAGTGGAACAGTGTAGTGGAAAATGCAGCAATTGACTTAATAAAACAGCTTCTAGATAGGGGAAATCTAATGGAAACAGTAATGCTTTTGCTTAGGATGTACGATGAACTGATGCCCAATTCTGTCCTTGTAGGCCTGTGTAAAGATCTGCATAATAATGGAAGTTCTGCGTCCACAGCTTGTAAAGATTGGTGGACGGGTTTATAGGAAGAATCCCATCCAAGAACAGACTTATCAACATGAAGAAGAAGATGATGACTATTACCAAGGTAATCTTAGTTGCTCTTTGGTCAGATTAGAAGTACAAAGTTATCCGTACTGTAGAAACAATTCTTTGTTTCAGTGTTTCTGTGTGAGCACTGAAATTTGACATGTTTGGCCTCTCAGCTCCCTTGTTGATTCCGAGGGGGCTGGTGAGTTTGTTTGATGAGGTGTTCTCAGTTCATAAGCTAAGCTGTGTCTCATCTTTTTGCAGAGGCTTAAATGTAATAAGGGGTAATTTTAGTTAGCTATTAATATTAACAATTAATTATCTGTGGCAGAATTAAGTTCTTTTATCTGTAAAGCTGAGAACTAGCTTTTATAAATTATTGAAATATATGAACATATGCCCAATGTTAACTGTTATTGTTGTGTCACAATTTTTCTTTTCTTCTCTGCAGTCATATACAGGCAGTTTCAAATACATAACCCACGTGGCTGTTTCCCTTCAGCCCTGGGGCCTTGAGCCCTTTTATTTCAGCCTCCTGTTTTCTCTTTGTCTTGGCTGTATGGAGTAAATTCTCCAGTATCAGTCCTGCCTCATTCACTGAAGTGATTTTGTGTCTTAATACTAAAAACCACTGAGTTGTACATTTTAAGAGGATGAATTTTATGTGAATTATGTCTCTCTAAAATAGTACAAAAAATTTATTTCTGGGAGAAAACAATTAAATAGTGGTATGTAGATACTCCTTTCCAAAGGTTCCAAGATTGGAAGATTTAAAATAGTCATGTGTTTTTATTCTTTATTTTTTTGTCTAAGAGCAGGTGAGGAGGAATGTTGGAGCAGTGTTCTTCAGTGTAAAGTGTATGGCTGTTCTTTGTGTGTGTGTATTGCTTTTCTTTAAACGTCAAGAATGGTTGGACAGCTGAGGAGAAGAAAGACTTGTCCACAGAGCAACAGCTCTGAGTGAGATGTTATGGTTTCTGTACAGGCCTCATGGAGTGTGCGGAAGAGCCCTGTGAAACCTATGAGGTGGTGCAGACCCCACAAGGTTTCCGATGTACCGTGAAGGCCCCCAGCCTCCTCTACAAGTGAGTGATGCCCCTTGGCAGCTTCATGGGAAGGCACTTCCAGGAGACCTAGAAGGAAGCTGATTCTTCTCTTTTCCTCACTTATTACAGTACTTACTAGTGACAAAATGGTTTAGTGTTCAACATCCTAGAATTTCTAAAGATTAATTGCAGATCAGTTTTATCATTCCACATACATCATCAAGTCCTGTTGATTTTGCCTCTTAAGTATCTTTTGAATCCACCACTTTTTCTTTATAGCCATTCTGCTACCTCTTCTGTGAAGTGAAGTCGCTCAGTCGTGTCCGACTCTTTGCGACCCCATGGACTGTAGCCTGCCAGGCTCCTCCTGCCGTCCACAGGATTTTCCAGGCAAGAATACTGGAGTGGGTTGCCATTTCCTTCTCCAGGGGATCTTCCCAACCCAGGGATCGAACCCAGGTCTCCCACATTGTAGGCAGATGCTTTTACCACCTGAGCCACCAGGGAAGTCCACCTCTTCGGTGAATTATTTCAAATAGCCTACTTACTGGTCACTCCAGATTGATTATTGCTCTCTTCCAATCAGTTCTTCACATTGAGGGTGGAATAATCTTTTTAAAAGGAAAACCTGATTATTTTATTACCTTTGCTTGAAATCCATTAACATTCTTCTGTGGAAGATGGAATTTTATTCCACTAGAGCAGTGGCCAAAATCTTGAACATGAGTTAGCCAGCCCTGCATTTTTCAGTTTCAACTCACACCACTCTTTCCCTGGCTTTGCACTTAAGTTTAACTGGTTTTCTTCAGTTCCTCAGATGTGCTGGGCTCCTTCCTACCTTCTAGCTTTGGCATATGCTGTTCCCTTTCCTTATATTACCTAGTTATTAATATATTCTCCTTCCTTAGGGAAGCTTGTTTTGACATCAGCATCCCCACCCACCACATTGATTACCTTAGTATATGTTTTCATAACACCACTACTTTTCCTTTATAGCATTTCTCAAGCCTAATGTTTATATTTTTTTGTCTCCTATTTGATGTTTCTTCCACCAGATTGAAAACTACCTGAAGGTAGGAATGTGTCTGTTTGTTGTCCTCCAGTTCTTGTCAAAGACTGAAATGCTTTTTCCAGAATCGACTTTAGTTTTAAATTGCTTGGAAGCTTTGTGATCCTTTCAGTCTGTGCCTACTTGCCTGCGTGTTGATCATATTCTGTCTTTTATTAACCACTAATATTGTTAGCTCATGTGGCTGACTGGCTTCTTTTGGGCTTGCACCTCTGAAGATAGGATGGTCTAGGAAGTCATAGATTGTTTTTCTGTGTTGTACCAGATGAATAAAGTCTGTCTATACTTCTCTATTGGAGCAGGCAATGGCAACCCACTCCAGTACTCTTGCCTGGAAAATCCCATGGACGGAGGAGCCTGGTAGGCTGCAGTACATGGGGTCGCTAAGAGTTGGACATGATTGAGTGACTTCACTTTCACTTTTCCTTTCATGCATTGGAGAAGGAAATGGCAACCCACTCCAGTGTTCTTGCCTGGAGAATCCCAGGGACAAGGGAGCCTGGTGGGCTGCCGTCTATCAGGTTGCACAGAGTCGGACACGACTGAAGTGACTTAGCAGCAGCAGCAGCATTCTTCTCTATGAGAAGTCTACAAATACAGAATCATACACCTTTAAGTTCCAAGAGGCAAATAGTTGCATTTTTTTCAACTTGAGAATTTTCTGAAACACCTATTGAGGATGAAATTTCTCTCCTGGATTGTGACCAAATGAGAAACCAAATGCTAATCCTGACAGCTCACTTTCCTCTCAGGTTTCAGTGACATTTTCTTCTAAGAAACATGATTTTAGAAAGCTGTGACTCAGATTCCTGGCAAAAATCAATGCAACATGTCTTCCTTAATGTATATATTTGTTACTGCTAAGGTATGTAAAGATTCCTTAGATGTCTGATTCTAATCATATGACCTTTTGAATTTTATATATTCTAAATACTCATTTTGTTCCAGATGACTTGCATGTTAGATTAAGTATTGGTTCTGCTAAATCCTAATTAATAGACAATATTTGCTAGGAAGACTTCTTTCTTTTTTGCTTTCTTCTTCCCTCCTTCTCTTCCTCTCGGTCTTATTGACAAATAATTGACCTACATGGAAGATTTCTTTTTTTTTTTTAATTTTTTAAATTTCTTTCTTAAGACTCATTTATGTAAGTTTATTTGGTCCATGGAAGAAATTACTTGACCAAACTAATTTATAATCAAAGTCTAATAGTGGTGCACATGTCCACAGATGAGGTCTAATACTGTGGCTCTCAACTTCAGGTACACATTAGAATCACCTGGGGAGTTTTAAAAACTCCCAATACCTAGGTGTACCCCAGACTAGTTGAGTCTGAATCTCTGGGAGCTGAACCCAGGCATCATTAGTTTTTATAGCTACCCAGGTGATTCCAGTGTGTAGCCAAGATTGAGAACCACTTGATCTGGCAAGAATTTCCACTTATACAATAAGGAGTCATCCTTTCACTGTTTATCTGTATTATTTTAGTGAATGCTTTAGACTTTCCGTGTAAACCTCTTTTGGGTCTGTCTGTACTCTTAACTGGAAGGATGCCATCATGGGTTTAATGAGGATGACATGGGCTGTACTGAGCTATGTGCCAGTCATTGGGAAGTCCTTTTATATATGATCACATCTAATCCTTACGGCCTGCCTTATGATATTTAGGTATTATTCACTCCATTTTTTTAAGTGAAGCAGTAGGCTAAGAGTGGTTAAATGACTTGGCCAAGGTTTGTTTGTTTCTAAAGCCTCTTTAACCTCAACCACTTCCCTTTCTAAGGTGCCTAGACTATTAATAACACTTCGAGCCAACTACTTTATGAGAGGTTTGTCCACTAGCCATGTGCTAACAAACAGGAACCTGACTGAAAACACCCCTTTATTGATAAGACCTGGAAAGACAAAGGCTGAGGGAGTTGGTGCTACATAGTCCCTAGCTCAACACAGAGAAAAACCACATGGAAACTGTGGAGTTCCAGTCCTCTTCTGAACATCTTGTTTTATAAAAAGTTGGCTTACTACAATAAATCTTAATAGAAATAATCAGACTTGGTTATCCCATGTAAAAATAAATACAGAATTTTAGACATAGTCACCAATGCTGTTGTGTACTGTAATTGAAATCATCGAAGTCAAAATGCTGTTGATGAGGAAATTTTTTCTCTTAACTTCATGGTCCTGTGATGGTCTCTTAGTGCTTTATATAAACTCTGAAACTTTTCTCCTGGGATCCAGTAGTCTCATTTGGTTTGATACATCTAATTACTATGGGTTCCAGAATATAGATTTGGATGGTCAGAATTATTTATACTAGGAGGCCTAGGTAAGTAATGTGAGCCAATAGATGATTGGAGTCAATAAAAGACAGTAGGAAGTGGCAGGGATTGTGATGAATTCATATTCCATTTTCAGAAATGAGCTCATGTTCCAGCCTATTTTTGCCATTGAGTAGTCAGATCTCCCAATTTTTTGAAAGAACTTAGAAATCTGTATTTTTTAGGTGAAATTTCCCAATTTTTAGGTGAAATCTCCCAAACAAGACATGTCTGTGTGTTTGAATTCAGCCTGAGGGTTACTTCTTTCTGGGCTTGCACCTGTCTTGGTTGATGGACCCTGCTCTTTGCTAAGCTCTTTAGCATTATTTAATTAATGAAGGATAATTCCCGTAGGATGAATTCAAAATGTAGTTAATTTGCTCTCTAAGAGGGCAAGATTTTCCCCCTTCAAACTGTAGACCCATTCAAGTGGCCAATGAGACTATGCTAGCTTTTCTTTCACTTAACTGCAGACCCAGATTTTGAATCTAGTTTTGAGAAGCAAACAGGCATTGGGTATAATTATTCTTTCTATGCTTTGAATTGGCTGTTGGACATTGTTTTGTCAGTGAATATAATGCAACATGTTCTGTAAAGCTATATGACTTGTAATTTCCTCTACAAATACTGAATTTTTACTGAAGCACTCTTCTATGAGGGAGTATCTCTGGCCACATAGGATTTAAATATGTTGGAGTTCTTTATTCTGATATATTTTGACTTACTTTCTCTATATTATAGGCATATTGTTGGAAAGAGAGGGGACACTAGAAAGAAACTAGAAGTGGAGACCAAAACTTCCATTAGCATTCCTAAGCCTGGACAAGAAGGAGAAATTGGTAAGACTCTGTATATGTTTGCAGTCACTTTTGTATGTGTATGGAATAATGTGGCCCAGCTGAGGTGTTTGATGATTATATTTTTTATGTGGTTCTATAGCTATTGTCCTTTTTATATCAGTATCAGTCTCTCAGATGAGGAAAGATGTACTTATACAGCATTATCTTGGTTGAGTACCTGGGCCTTAATTTGATACTTTACTACACACTGATGGAATAAAGCTTCCAGATTTTGTTGTGGACTAGGAGATTTCTTGTATGCTTCAGTAGCTTGAAATGGAGTTTGTGAATTATTTCAAGTTAGAATTAGAGAAAAAAAGTGAGATCAGCAAATTTGAAATGAAGCTCAGCCCTTTCCCTATTAGTTATCTTGTTTTTATCTTGCTTTGTAGACTAGGAAGGAAATTTTAAGAGTAATAATTAAAACAACAATCTGATTCAAGTAAGTGTTCAGGTGAGGAAAAATAGTTTAGCAATAGAAGCCATGTCAGAAAGTTCTGTACTAAAGCATCAATGTGAACGAAGGGCACAGACTTGTGTTGTAAAGTGACTTTGAGTGAGGGATACAGAAGGGGCAGAATTTTTAAAACAGTAGGAATTTTTCAGTGTCAGATAAGTGCAGCAGCCTGCAATAATCCATATTCCATAAACACTCATGGATTGTATTAAGTTTTAGGAGAAAAGAATTATAAGTACTCTTCTTATTTTGTTCTATGTAAAAATAATCACTGTGGCAGAGAGGTAGCAGTTGACTTTAGAGTGGCGCTGTCCAGAAGAACTTTCCATGATGGTGGGTTTGTTGTATGTTTGCACTATCCAAAGAGCCACTAGCCACTCGTGAGTGAGTCCTTGAAATGTGGCTGATGTGACTGAGGAACTGAATTTTAAATTCTATTTAATTTTAATTCATTTATCTTTTAATTTAACTAGCTGCATGGGGGCTCCTATTTTGGACAGTGAAGTGCTGGAGTTTCTCCCAGCCCCTTGGTAATGAGTAAACGCTAACTTCACAACTTTAATGACATTTTTGAAGGACTCTCTTTAAAATAGATATTTAGTTCATTAGAATTACTGTTTAAAAAAAAAAAAGCTTGTGTCTTTCTTTAAGTGTTAAAGTTCAGGTTGCAAATACTGAAGTAATTTTATTAATTGCATTAAAGCTTATTTCTTTCTTTTTCTGATTTTAAAATTAATACATGCTTTCAAAAAGAAAAGCTTATAGAAATTATATGTAAAGTATAAACAGAAGTTTTTTATGTTATGAACTTCAACCATAATTGTTGCTAACAGTTGAATCTGTTCCCCATTTTTTTCTATGCATATAGGAACAGATGGCTAATGATTTTTATTTTGGTAAAAATTTATAACATGCAATAAATGTGAAGACCTTAGCCATTTTAAGATACTGGAGTCGTTACAAAACTTATCCAGAAAAGGTTAGACAGGTTATTGACTTAGAAAGCCAAAATATTTCAGTGTGAATAAGGGTGTTTAATTGCTAAAAGAAAGAATTTAGTGGAACTAATTTAATTGAAAAACAAGAGGATAAACTGGCTTATTGGTCTTGAAGGGAAGTAAAGTATATAAAAAAATTGAATTTACTAGTTACAGTAAATTGGGTTCTGATGTGAAATCAAAACTGCAGTTGCATTGGTGTGGTATATGCTGTAATTAGTTGTTTTGCCTCTCCTAAATTAGGGAAACTAGAGAAGAAAATGATCTGGTAGGTTTCAGTTTGTCCTCTAGATAAGAATTTGGTCTAGTCTGTTTTGAAGCCTCAGGCAGTGGGATATAAGAATGATTTTTTTTGTGCGTGTTTCAGCTGTATCTGACTCTTTGCAACCCCATGGACTGTATTCGGCCAGGCTCCTCTGTCCATGGGATTCTCCAGGCTTTTAAAATGATTTTGTCATTTTAGTTGTGCAGTTGGTTTTTATAAAGTTCCACATCAGTGCCTTTGTTTTCTTCCTCTGTATCTCTTGTAGTCCTTAGACCTATGTCAAGTAAATTCTGGTCCTCTCAGATATTTGTAGTTTTAGAATATTTCTAACCTCATCATATTTGCTCTTTAGTCATTGTTTGCTCAACTTCGAATCTTTTTCTGGAAATAAGTCTGAGCACCTTTGACATGCCCTTAGCAGTTTTCTGCGTTAAAAATATGAAAACATCTTACTAGTCTTATTCTCTGCCAACCTACCTTCTTAGTGCAAAAGGACAGATATAGTATTTTGTACTAAATTTTTATAGAACTAAACATAAACAGGAGTTTTAAGCTTCCCTCCCCTGCATACCTTTTTCTTTTAGTTTCTTACCATATTTTTTTCCTTGTGCAGAGATAATTATAATTTCTCCTTTACTTTAACTTTGTTCCAGTTTACCATTGAATCCTCCTTTGTCAGTATTTCTATGGCACATTGTTTGAATGCCTGCTTAGACACTTCCCTTCACTGGGCATTTGAATCTTTTGGATTCTCAAAGTGTTCTATTGTAAATAAAATTATATCATCAAAAAAATACCGTGTCTCTACTTCTTAATTTTTTTGTGCGTGCTTGCCAGGTTGCTTCAGTTATATCTGACTCCTTGTGACCCCATGGACTGTAGCCGGCCAAGCTCCTTTCCTTTGTCCTTGGGATCCTTTAGGCAAAAATAATTGGAGTGGGTTGCCATGCCCTCCTCCAGGGGTCTTCCCGACCCAGGGATTGAACCTGAGTCTCTTATGTCTCCTGCATTGACAGATGGGTTCTTTACCACTAGTGCCATTTGGGAAGCTCTCTTACATTTTTTGGTTATGACTTATGTCAATTTTCTGTTTAGGCAAACAGTTTTTAGGCTTTCTGTCAATTCATTCGTGTGTGCGTGCGTGAGTGCTCAGTTGCTTAGTTGCGTTCGACTCTTTGTGACCTTGTGGAACGTAGCCTGCCAGGCTCCTCTGTCCATGGGTTTCTCCGGGCAAGAATACTGGAGTGGGTAGCCATTTCCTCCTGCAGGGAATCTTCCCGACCCAGGGATGAAACCAATGTCTCCTTAGTCTCCAGCATTGGCAGGCAGATTCTTTTATCATTGGAATCCCAGTTAATTCACAATTTACTTCTTTTCCCAGAAATTTCCATCTTGTTTCTTTACAACAAAATGGGTATGATAATTTCATCTTTATTAAAAAAAATAGCTGTTCTTATAGAAAATTTCAAATGCTTTAATGGGAAGTATTAAGACAAATAAATGGAATTATTTGTTTAACTTCTGCAGTTGCTTGGAAGGAGCAAGCTTTGTGGTCTTGAAAGTACGTAGCAGATGTTGCTACTATTAATTCAGAAATCTGTCCTTTCCTCTTTAATAAATACTCCATTGAAATGCCAGTTTTGTTCATTGTTCCTATCTTCTACATCATTCCTTAGTTTCTATTTTGAACCAAGCACTGCCAGTTCTGGAACTTAGAGGTTTAATCTCTATTAAACAGAGGTTATGTAATCCTTAAAATGATTTTTTTTTCTTTACAGATTGTAGTATAAGGTTTTGTGGTTTTCCCCCTTATTTTCATTTAAGTATAAAGACAGTCCAGATCAGAGAAGACCAAATTACACTAAGGTGTGGAAATTTGATATCCATACATACAATGTAGATATAGATAAACATTTTTACTTTAACCTTGTATTTTTCATACAGTTAGGGTAGGATCATATATATTGTAGCAGATTCTGTTTTGCTCTTTTACTGTAGCAAATCACTACAAATTTTGCCACAGATTTTTTAAAAATTGAGGTAAAATTCACACAACAGAAAACTCCACTTTTTTTGTTCTTAATTTTTATTGTTTCAATTTCTCTGTAGTATATTGTTCTTTTCTTTAAAATGGTAGAATATACACAACATAAATTTACCATTTAGACCACTTTAAAGTGTTGAATCGAGTGGCATTTAGTATATTTACGGGCTTCCCTGGTAGCTCAGACTGTAAAGAATCTGCCTGCAATGCAAGAGACTCGAAGTTTGATTCCTGGGTGGGGAAGATCCCCTGGAGTAGGAAACATTTACAGTTGCTGGACAACTACTATCTAGTTCCAAAACATTTGTCAGCCAAAAAGGAAACTTCATATCCATTAACCAGTCACTCGCCATTCCTCACTACTCCCAAGATCTTTGTTACCACTAATCTACTTTCTCTCTCTCTGAATTTGCCTGTTTAGATAGTTCCTATACATGAAAACATGCAATATGTGGTCTTTTGTGTCTGGCATCTTTAACTTAGCATAATGTTTTCAAGATTCATCCATGTTTTTGCATGTATGATTACTTCACTCCTTTTTTTCTTTTCTTTTTTTTGCCAAATAGTATTTCAGTGTATGGTAATACCTAATACCACGTTTTATGTGTTCAATAATTGGTTAAAGGACATTTGTGTTTTTCCACCTGTTGGCTGTTGTGAATAAAGCTGTTATGAACATTTGTACAAGTTTTTTGTTTTTTTTTTGAATACGTGCTTTTACTTCCTTTGAGTTTCTACTTAGGAGTGGAATTCCTGGGTCATGTGATATTTGTCTGTTTAATTTTTCATGGAACTGCCAGACTTCTACATATCAGCTGCACCATTTTACATTCATACTAGCAAGGTATGAGGGATTGCTTTGTAGCTTTTGAATTCATTTTCCTGCTTCATCAGATGGTCTTAAGGTTATACTGTTTAAACCTCATTCTGCTTAGACTGGATTCATTAACAGCTTTCTTACCCTTGGTACTGTCTGCTGTTCAGAATTGTGTACTCATTCATGACAGTTTTGTTCCCCAGAGATGACAGTTTTATGAGGTCACCTATTTTACAACCAGTTGATGGTCCTTGAGCATGTTAAATCTTTTTTTCTTTTTTGCTTACAGTAATCACTGGCCAGCATCGAAGTGGTGTAATTTCAGCCCGAACTCGGATTGATGTTCTTCTGCTCACTTTTAGAAGAAAACAGCCCTTCACTCACTTCCTTTCCTTTTTCCTCAATGAAGCTGAAGTTCAGGAACGATTTCTGAAATTCCAGGAGGAAGTACTGGAGAAGTGTTCCATGGTAAGCAACAAATAGAACAAAATTAAAAGTTTTTCTACTTTTTTATACTTTGTCAAGTATAAGGAAGAGTACAAAAATGGCTTATAATTCAAACAGTAGAAATATTCATATCTCCTCTCCCACTGAAAAAGGGAACCATTTCTGATGGTTTCTTTTAATTCTAAACTGAAAAAAGTATCTACAGATGTATCAGCACGTAAGTCTCCATGTATTACAGAAATATCCTCTAAAGGATGACACAAAAGGATCATCCTAATGTACCTACCATTCTGCACCTTGTGGGTGTATTTTTATGCATTTTAACACATGTATAGATTTCTGTAGCCACTTAACCACAATCAGGATACAGAGCAGCTGTACTCCCCCCAAAAACTCCCTCATGTTGTCTGTTAGAGTCGCCTCTTCCTCACCCGAAACCTTGGCAATCACTGATCCCTTCTTGGTTACTATTAGCATTGTCTTTCCTGAGAATGTCTTGTATGTGAGATTGTTTTTTTCTTCCACTAAGTATAATGGCTGAGTTGTTTCAGTAGTTAATCCTCTTTCATTAATTTGTTTCCAGTTTTTGGCAATTACAAGTAGAACTACTATAAATATTTGTGTACAGGTTTTTATGTGAACATAGTTTTCATTTCTTTAAGTACTCAGGAGTGGGATTGCTGGGATATATGGTAGGTGTATTTTTAACTTCATAAGAAACTACCAAACTGTTTTTCAGAATGCCTTTATTGCCTTACACTCCCATCAGCAATATCAGAGAATTCCAGCTGTTCTGTGTCCTTACCAGTATTTGGTGGTGTTGGCAGTTTCATTTTAGCCATTCTAATGAGTGTGTAGTGATATCTTATGGTGGTTTTAATTTGCATTTCTTTAATGGCTAATGATGTTGAACATCTTTTTTTTTTTTTAACATTTATTTTTATTTATTTGGCTACATAGAGTCTTAGTTGTGGCATGTGGGATCTAGTTCCCTAACCAGGGATCGAACCCAGCCCCCCTGTATCAGGAGCGTAGAGTTTTAGCCACTGGACCACCAGGGGATTCCCAACATCTTTTTATTGTGTGTTTTTTAACCATTCTTATATCTGCTTTGGGGATGTGTTGACTTTTTTTTTTAAGATTTATATTTTTATTTATTTTTTGATTGTGGTAGGTCTTTGTTGGTCACGCAGGCTTTCTGTAGTTGAAGTAAGCAGAGGCTACCCTTTGTTGCAGTGTGTGGGCTTCTCATTGTAGTGGCTTCTCTTGTTGTGGAGCACAAGCTCCAGGCGTGGGCTTCAGTAGTTGCAGTGCATGGACTCAGTAGCAGTGGGATCTTCCTGGACCAGGCAAGGTGGATTCTTAACCACTGGACCACAAGGGAAGCCCACGTTCACATCTTATGCACAACTTAAAATTGTTTTCTTACTGCTGAGTTTTGAGAGTTCTTTTGTAAATGTTACACGTACAAGTCCTTTCAAGGATATGGGATTTCCAAATATTTTTTCCCAGCCTGTAGTTTATCTCTTCATCCTCTTATCAGTGACTTTTTTGAGCAAAAGTTTTAAATTTTGATGAAGTCCAATTTATTAATTTTTCTTTTATGGATTGAACTTTTAATGTCATATCTAAGAACTTTTTGCATAGCCCCAAGTCGCAAAGGTTTTTTCTTAGAATTTTTATGGTTTTGCTTTTTTACACTTAGATCTGTAATCTAGTTAATTTTTGTATTTAAGTTGTAAGGTTTAGGTTGAGGTTCATTTTTTTGCATATGGGTGTCCATACTGTGTTTTCTCAATCTTGTAGTAAAGAGAGGAATAAAAGTGTGTGGATAAAATAGAATGGTGGTTAGTATTTTTTTTGGTTCTTGAAACAGATGGACCTACATCTGATTCTGGGTTCTTCAATCTGTATAGACTTGAACAAGTGAACTTCTCCAAATTTTTACAGCCTGCTTTGGAGAGTTGTAGGAAGGATTAAATGAGATAACATATAGTACTCAGCATGGTGCTGGATACATAAGAAACGTTCAATAAAAGGTAACTGCTATTCCTGATATTTTTATGACTGGTTAGGTTAAAAGTATTAGTATTACTTGGAGTATTCAGAGTAGATGAGCACTCTATTTGATAGTTGTGGGCAAGGTCAGCAAAAATGATTTGGTGAGAATTTTTGTAAGATCCTTTCTTCTTTTTCCTTTCCTTTGTCCATCCTGTTCATATTGCTCAAGCTGGGTTTTAAGTATTAGGATAGAGTGAGATATAGGTATGCAGATATAGAAGTATTAGAATCCAAGTACTTTTGTGGGATGGGGGTGACAGTTGATCAACTTGATTATTTAAGATGGTAAGAAGATACAGACTGGGCAAATGTGAGTAGACAGGACAGAACTGTGTAATCTCAAAGTTTCTTACTTGGCATTTATGTGCTAGAACAAAGGTACATCTGTAAGTTCAGTACTCAAATACTATACATATGTGTGTATCCATGCATACATATATATGATTTAGAAAGCCATCAGAATATTACTAATTTTCATTAGTTAACCACCAGAGTATCTTTTTTCCCCTTAATATTTCATAGCAAGATGATCTCATTCTCAGTGGGAGTGGAGGGTAGGGTAGGAGAAGATCAGGAACACTGAACTTTCAGTATGGTTTGGATAAATTTTGTGGGGGTCGTGCTGGTAAGTTTTGGAATTGTTTTACCTTGTAAATACCACTTATTGAATCTCAATGATTATTTATTTTTTGAAATATTACAAATACCTGATACGTGACAAGCAGATTGTAATAGGCCTTTTTCTTTCTCTCGCTGTATATGTGTGTATATGTGTGAATGTTTCTCACTTTTCTTTTGTTTCCTGGCATGGGCTGAAAACGAATAAATATTGGAATGATTACTTTAACTCAGCTGGAATGAGATTGGCCACTATGTGTATCATGCTGGCCTTAATCAGTCCCAAGTACTTCCTTCCTGCTCTCAGGGAGACTCCACACTGACATGTCTTCTTCCTGCTTTTAAATCAGATCTTGATAACAGCAGGGAAGTAAGCACAGCATAAAACAGTAAATAAGAAACCATTATCTACCTATTACATTGAAGAAAGTTTTACTGAATTTCATTCTAATGTTCGACCGATAAGCAGATGGCTGTAAAACCATGCAGGCATTTTCCACTGGTACTGTGCTTTTATTTTTCCAACTGTGGAGAGTTCCTTTCTGGTAACTTTGAAGAATGTATAACCTGTTCATTGAGATATCAGTTGTTTCCTGAAAGACCGTGTGGCTCTCAGTCTAATTTTGATTCCTCTGACACTTATCTGACATCTCTGATGAGAGTTTCTTCATCTCTAAAATAGGAGTGGTCTTAGCATTCTCTTCCTTATAAGAAAGATCTCTTGGTATAAAGTTGGCTCATACATTAAAAAAATTTGCATATGTTTGTATTATATTTATTACAATTGTTACACACACTGTTTTCTAATTACCTTTTTGGTTTTTTTTTTTTTTTGGCTGTACATGGCTTTTGGTATCTCACTTCCTTGACCAGGGATGGAACCAGGGCCATAGCAGTGAGAGTCCGGAATCCTAACCACTAGGCAACCAGGGACCTCCCTATCTTTTTGATTTAACAACATGTTTTGGGTCAATATATATAAATCTAATTGGTGCCTTTAGGTGCTATAAAGATCCTAGTCTATGTATGTACCCTAACTTATTTCATCAATCCCCTGCAATGGACCACTAAAGGAAATTATTTCTATTAAATAATGCTATAATGAACATTTTTGTAAATACACCTTTGTGTTTTTGGCTCACAGTTTCTTTGGGGTACATTTTGGGATAAATTCTTAGAATTGGAAAACATGGGTTAGGGGAATGTAAACTTAAAATTTTTTGATAGTTTTTTTCCATTTTATTTTAAAAATCAACTTTATTGAGTTAAAACTTACAAAGAATATAATGCACATATAATATAAAGCATAATGCTTAAAATATAAAGCATATTTTAAGAATATGCTTTGAGTTTTGACAGACATAAGACATATACAGCTGTGCAACGAACATCAAAAACAAGATGTAGAACATTTCCATTAGCCCAAAAATTTCCTTTGTATATCTTTGCAGCCACTTCCACTTCCTGCCATCTCATCTGCTGGTGATTCCAGCCAACCACTTATCTGCTGTTACTATTGGATTTCCCTTTGCTAGAGTTTCATATAAATGGAATTATACAGTATATAGTCTTTTTGTTGTTGTTGTTTGGTTGTGCCATGCAGCATGTGGGATTTTACTTCCCTGACCAGTGATCGAACCCATGCCCCCTGCAGTGAAGGCACGGAAACATTACCTCTGGGAAGACCCCAGGATATGGTCTTTGTGGCTTTTATTTTTTTTGTTCAGTGGAACATTTTTGAGCTTCATTCATGTTGGTGTGTGTTACAGTAGTTCGTTTCTTTTTATTGTTAAGTATATTCCTTTGCATGAATGTACCAAAATGTGTTTAATTCAACTCTTTAGGTGGTTTCTAGTGTATTATAAATGAACCTATTTTAATCATTTGTTAGAAATCTTTGTGTTAAGTATGTTTTTATTCCTCTTGGGCAGGTACTTAGGAGTATAATTATTGGATCAAGTGCAGATACATGTTTAATTTTATAGAAAACTGTTAAAACTATTTCAGGTTGTGGTTGTGCCTCTTCCTACCACTAATGATGTATGAAGAGTTTAGGTTCAACATTTGGTGGTGTCTTATTTTTTAAATTGTTCATTGAAGTATAGTTGATTTACAGTGTTTTGTTAATTTCTGGTATGTAACAAAGTGATTCACTTAACATACATCATACACATACTCTTTCATATTCTTTTCCCTTATGGTGTATTATAGGATATTGAATACAGTTCCCTGTGTGATATAGTAGGACCTTGTTGTTTATTTTATATATAGTTTGTATCTGTTAATCCCAAACTCCTGATTTCTCTCTCACTAATCCTTTTTACCCTTCGGTAATCATAAGT